TCTCTCTCTCTCTCTCTCTCTGTCTGTCTCTCTGTCTCCCTCTCTCTCTCTCTCTGACTGTCTCTCTGTCTCCCTCTCTCTCTCTCTCTGTCTGTCTCTCTGTCTCCCTCTCTCCCTGTCTGTCTCTCTCTGTCTGTCTGTACTTGATGACAGTGTCTCAGTTTAAATCTCAGTGTCTCACCACAGTGAGCATGTTGAAGCCGGCCTGGCCCAGCAGGTTCCCCAGGTCGGTGACGGCGGTGTAGGGGGAGACGTGAGGGGAGAACCCTCCCTCCCTTTCTGTCTCGGCGAGCTGGAGTGAACACCTCAGCTCGTACAGCGTCTCTCCGCCAACCATGGCGCCGATGAAAACGCCGTCCGGCTTCAGCACCTGGTGGATCTGAGGAGACGGATCTCCGAGGTCAGATCGATGCGTCTGAAGAGGACGTGTAAAATACAAAGCGCGGCCGTCTCACCTGTCTCAGAGCTCCCGGCAGGTCGTTGATCCAGTGCAGACTGTGGAACACAGAACAAAGATTAAAGACGTAAACAGAAGTGAGAGCTCTGACGTGTGGACGCCATCTTGTGAGTTTGATCACCTCAAGCTGCTCACCACCAGGTCGAAGGAGTTTTCTTTAAACGGCAGAAACTCCTCATCAGTCAGGACGCAGTGAGTCGGGATCTCAGTCCGTCTCCTCTGCTTCTGCAGATTAGAAACAGGAAATCATTTATTCAGCATCACGAACGTACGACGGAATGTTAGAGGCATTATAAATAAAAAAGAAACGAGCCAGAGAAGAAGAGAAGAGATCTCACTTTTAAATGATCAAGAAAAAAGTTAAAATCTCCAGAATGAAAAGATTTAAATGTACCTGCTAAAGTTTTCCTCAGTTTGTCCTCTTTGTCTCACGACTCCGACCTTTTAAATGTTCTATTTCACGTTATCACGTCAGTTTTTAGCCCCTCCCCTCTGTTTTGCGTTCTCGTGTCGGGGAAGTGTGTCCCGAGGGGAGGGGCCAAGTGTTGGCCTGTACAGCCCTCGAAAAAAGATTTTTCAGACACACTTCAAACCGGCTAGGACGATCTCCCAGAATGCATTGGGCATCACCAGCAAACTGGGAGACCCGCAGATGAAGTGTTAGTTTAATATCGTGCTAACATGCTAGCGATCTTTATTTGCATGATAATCCCGTACTTTCACATAAGTTCATATCCCCCCCCCCCTTTGAAGACACACGATGCTCCTGGTCGAGCCAGCGTGTAGCAGCTGATGACACAGCGTCCTGCAGGCTTCATACAGAGCATGCTAGCAGCCGCTGCTTTGATTCACACCTGAAATAACGACGAGCATCCGAGCTTTAAAATTTGAAATGTCATAGATTCACCTGCGTCAGCACAGACATTACTTGGATATTAAAGGTTCGTCACTTTACTAACTGCAAACAACAGCTTTGGTTTATTTAAGATCTCAACAACGTTATTACAATGACGTCTCTCGTCTGTTTACATACGATGATGTAACGGCTTCGTGAAGCGCTGTCCCACTTCGTAGGACAAGATTTCAACCACTAGAAGACAATCCTGGAAACCAAGGGGCGGGGCGACATGGGGCCGAGCCACAGTCTCAGAACTTCTCACTCACCAGAGTCTCCTCAGAGACGTCCGTCAGGATAAGACGCTCCACGACGTCCTGAAACAACAGCAGACAAACACAGATAGGGGGCGCTGTTTGAGGTTTAGAGAACAATTAACACCAATAAGTATGTTCACACACACATGCACGTCTCTCTGTAGTTGTGAGGACACTCAGTGACATAATGGAGTCCCTTGGTTTTAAACCAAGTCTGAACCATGTCCTCACGATGATACAGAAACAAAACACACACACACACACACACACACACACACACACACACACACACACACACACACACACACACACACACACACACACACCTTGCTTAAATGCTCTGCAATGTGACTCTTTCCACCACCGATGTCCAACGCCAGAGGAAACGTCCTGAGAGGACAGGAAGACATAAGTCAAACTTTATTCAAACTGTGTTTTATTGACAGTTCCAGGACCAGTTCAGAGCGAGCACCTGATCTGGAGCCAGAACTGACTCTGATAAAGTCGTAGAATCTGCGGAGCTGATGATCAGTGTGTGACTCTGAGCTGCTCTCTGTATAAAAACCTGAATCTGTCATGAACCCACCTCGCGATGTCGTAGACTCGATCGGCCACTCGACCTCCGACCTGCAAACAACCAGAAGAACAAGCTGAGTCGGTGAGAGGATCTCTGAGAGCAGTGACTTAAAACATGCACCTGAAACGTCTGCTCACCTTCCCCCGACAAATAGAGCGTCAGCTGCATGACGACACTAAAGTGGAAGTAGACGTCTCGGACAGTTCGCTTCCACATTTATTAAACGTCTCATTGCTGCAGATATTCGTTAACGTCTTAACCCACAAAGCCGACACGTCCCCATCAAGAAGAAAACAGTAGGTGGCGTAATGCACCTGACGTTAGTTGCTACCCGCCAATAAACCAAACAAAGAAGAAGAAAGCTTCCGACAGAAATGAAGCCAAAATATCTCTGATACGAACACTGCCATCTTGTGGTGAGTACATCATTTGCAGTCAGAGTCTGAGCTGCAGTGATCGTGGGGTCGAGCGACGGTATCAAGGTCCCGCCCACACAAGCTCTCGATCAATCCTGAGTCAGTCTCAGCTGTCAATCAGGAGCCTGTTTTTATATCATCAATAACTGATTAAACCAAAGTGATGAGAAACACTTGAGCCAACATCAGAGAGAAGAACGAGCTGAAGCGACAGAAACATTTATCTAACGTCTACTTTGATTTGTTTAGTTTGGTTCATGTTCAGTTTGTCCCACTGGACAGTGTTCTGTCTGATGTGGTGGTGAGTCCTGCAGGAGCTCCGCAGGGGACGGTCCTTCCTCCTCACACTGTACACCTCCGACCTTCAGTACAACTCAGAGTCAGCCACAGAAGTTCTCCGATGACTCTGGTGGGTGTATAAGTGAGGGGAGGGAGGGTGAGTACAGAGCGCTGGTGGATGGTTTTGTAGAGTGGGCCGGTAAAAATCATCTGCTTCTGAATGTGGCCAAGACCAGGGAGGTGGTGGTCATCTTCAGGAGGAAGAGGAGGTTTCACAGCCACTGTGTATTCTGGGAGAGGATGTTGTGACAGTGGAGGAGCACAAGAACCTGGGCGTCCACATCCACAACGGACTGAAGTGGAAAACATCGATGTCTCTGTTCTGTACTTTGCTGTGGTCTGCTGGAGGAGCAGCCTCGGAGCCGGTGACACCAACAGACTGAACCAGCTGATTCAGAAGGCTGGCTCCGTCACTGGCTGCAAACCAGACTCTTTGGAAGTGTTGGTGGAGAGGAGGACACTGAATAATCTCTTATCCATCATGGACAATCAGGACCACCCTCTCCACCACCTGGTGGACAGACAGAGAACCTTCTCCAACAGACTGGTTCAGCTCCACAAGGACAGATACAGGAAGTCTTTCCTGCCCACAGCAATAAGACGTCAAATACTGCAACGCTGCACCTCGTCTCTCTGT